CCCCCCCGTTTTCGTCCCCCCAGTCTATCAGCTCAATATCGTGATCTCAGGAATGCTGCAATCCGAGCAACAATCAACACAAGCTCAACTCTGTTGTTGCTGCACTCACTCGCTCAGCAATGTTTTGCACTTGAGCCAAAGTAGTGTGGGAGCAATGCTTCATGCATCATGCATCACTGTGCTGATGCAACGCAGATCTGATCAATTCTTCTAACACTTGGCTCAGCAATCCTTTCTGTGCCACATCATATCAGATCTCAATCTACTTGATCCAGACGACATAAAAACAATCGAGTTTTCGAAACGACATACGGAAACCAATCGAACTATCAATTCAACTGCGCGATCAGGCATATGCAATCGCTCAGGTCACTGCAAGGACTCAATGCTTTTCACTTCAAACGCTTGCAGTCCGCAGTGTAGATCTGATCAAGATTCCTAACATTAAGCCCCCTCCTTAAGCCCCCCCCCCCCTTTCGTTCAAAGGTGATGGGCCCATTATCCTGCCACACGTTGTGCCACTTTGCTGATTTGCACGCGAGAGCGTGAAGGCGTGCTGAGGGCATGGCTCACGTTGTAGGGCCTCGGCCAGGTGCCCTCTCAGAGGTGTTTTTGTCTGCCTTCTTTCTGCTCTCTTTTGGACTCAACGTGGAGACGTGGAGAGGCCCGGGTCAAGCCTGAGGGGCCGGCCCCGGAGTCACCTGCTGCATTGCTCTGAATGCAAGCCACAACGGACAGTTCTCTTTCTCAGCACAACGGCTTCGGCCCGGAGCTTCGCATGTCGAAGAAATCGAAGTCTGCCCCCAAACAGCACATTCAGGACCCCGGGAGCGAGATTCGTGGAATGTGCGGAGCATGCCTTCGAAGCCAGATGCGCTGCCGAGCGCGAACGAGGTGGGATGACCGTATGTAACCATATTTGTAAGGCCGGAAAAGCAGAGAGAGTATGATATGCACTTCAAGAGGAGCACCGACTGCACGCTGCAAAGGTCCAAAATACGACCCCCCAACTTGGGTTTCTATGAACACCCAAGATTACCCAATCCTCTCACAAAAGCAAGCCCGTGCCTAGGCGAGAGCACGATTGAGACCGATTGAGAAACGAGTGCTGCTGGGCAACAGCCGTGCAACCGCGAATAGATCACCGACACGAATTCCATGAGTAACCTGAATATCGTAACATGACTAAAATGAAGCAGCAGCACCTCCCTTCCTCTGTGCGCCTTCTGAATTTCTCCATGCTTCCCCACAACAGAGACTTCCTCTACTTCTCCCAGGTTTTTGTTCCCTCCGTTCCCTTCCGGACTTATAGCCCCCAGCTTCCCCGATGATTCCCGGGTGCCGCATGAGCAGATACTGAAGAAATTCTGTTCTGAATTGACACCCCAAGCCAGCTTCAAGGGCCCCCAAGGGCCAGCGAGCCGACAAAAACCACGCCTCCCATAGCGCCGAACGCGCCCGGGAGCGTGCCGCGGTGCCTGGCGGAAGATAGAGAAAGTAAAAATAGGCCATGTGTGATACTGCATCTACATTTGTCACTCTGTTCATCTCTGCACCTACTCCTTTGTGGTATGCGCAAAGGAGAGATTCTGCGGAGAGTCATATATCTGCTCTAAGGGAATCCGCGGGGAAAGTACCGCTGGGTGCGACGGTGACTTGAGCGACTCAGCGCGACATGCGAAACCAGTTGCCAGGCGTGCAGAGCAGCACACGGGGCTGCGCGGGGTTCCTGATGCGAAGGCTATCTAAGGGGTAGGGGCCCAGGGGATCAACGTATCTGGCAATCTGTCATCTTCCGGAATCAAGAACCTGAATTTGGGCTCAACAAAAAACTTGAAGCTGCGCACCCATGTGCAAAAAAATGCTGGTACGACGCGGGTATGACAGACTTGGAAAAGAAAAACACACGAGTTTGAAGCAAGTCACCGCGATAGCATGATGTATTTTACAGCAAGCTTCAAGGTTTGACAAAGGCGAGAGGCTTCCGCGCGTGCGGAAGCAGCTCCTGGAGCATCATCGCCCTCAAGGCGGCTGCAGCCTCGCCCTCCCGTGCCCGCGGAAGCGGCGATCAAGACCCGGGTCCCTGGTCCCACGCGCCATTTCAGCAACGAGTTGATGCTTGCACGGGTTCAACAAAGTAGTTGTATGAAGGGCTTGGAAAACACGAATAAGATGAGGGGCGTCGTGCCCGCATCTGCAAACACGATGCTTTCCTTTAAACCTTGACAAGCTAACGGCTACTGTAACGAAAAGCCGGGGGTTGGGGGTGGGGGGGGGGGGGCGGGGGGGTGGGGGGTGGGGGGTGGGGGTGGGGGGGGGGGGGGGGGGGTGCATGCAGATACAGTATAATGCTGGTTGATTGGTTTTGAAGTACGTCGCCGCGATAGCATGATGTATATTATATTAAAGCAAGCTTGCAAAATGGCCGGGTTAGGGGGGCGCACCCCGCCCCCCTCGTTTGCAAACGCAATGCTGGTATGACGGACTTGGAAAAGATTGCAATGCATGCATGACGTACTTGGAAAAGAGTAAGACAGGTCTCGAACCGAGTCACGCTTACAAGGCTTCAAACAGCGGGTCGGGAGCGTTGAGGTGTAAAGGCCTGAGGGCCTGAGGGTTTCAAGTTTTCAGGTCCTGGGTCAGCCGAAGGACAAGAGGGGGGCCGGACCAGAGGCCCATAGCACCGGGGACCACAGGACAAGGGAACCACCACAGGACCCGCAAGAGCAGAGAACCCGAAGGAGCACTTACGGCCGCGAGGGGGGGGGGGGGTTACAGGTTGAGGATTACCGTCTCGTTTGCTTTTTGACCAACCTCTAGACCCTGCTAATTTTTCCTATCTGGGCATCTTTGCTGCCAGGCGTCTTGCTGCTTGCGAGCTCAGCTTTCTCCACCTCACACAAACAAACACACACACACACACACACACAATTCTTCCCGAATGCGTAGCAGAAGGGTTCCAGGGTCCAGCAGGTGACCCGACATCAAGCCGCTGAGTGTTCGCGAAGCGTTTGTGCAGTGCTACCCCGTGGACAGAAATCCCCTGGATCGGACCAGAAGGCAGAGGTCAGAGAACATCAGAGAACATCAGAGAACATCAGAGAACATCAGAGAACCATCTTCGGCATCGCCTCGTAGTCGGAAGGCCCCGGGGTAGAAGGGACATCCTGGCGAGCGCTCAAAAGGAGAGGGCAGCCAGGGCAGCTGCCCCCCTCAAACTGGGCCACCCCGGCCAGCCAGGAGCCGCGCTCGGCCACGTTGAAGCTCCCGCGCCTGAGAACGAATCTGGGGGCACCGCTGAGAATCACTGCCGAACTCTGCAGGGCTTTCACTTGGGTGCTGTGTTCTTTGTTGGTTTAGAAGCTGAAGCTGAATTCTGGGAATTCTGGGAACTCTGGGAACGCGGGCAGCGACAGAGAGGGCGAGTCCAGGCCCAGCAGCGAGGAGAGCCCGGGCTCCCCACCAATCAAGCCTCACTGACTCACCCCCGGCGCTGCGCCAAAATTTACGAAATCAGAAAGGAAAACAAAAAGAAGACCAGAAAGAGGTCTCCCTTCTTCTCTCTCTCATGGATGGTCTCTCTCGATATTGCAGTCCGTAAGAACAAGAAGTTCAGAAATTCCTTGGCGCCGCGCCTGAGTAGCTGCTGCCGAAGTCCGCGAGGCACGTGGGGCTGCCGCACTCGGCGGGAACCGGCTCCGGCTCCATGTCCCTGTGCTCCCTCTGGTGCTCCCTCTCTGGTGCTCCCTCTGGTGCTCCCTCTGGTGCTCCCTGTGCTTGGAGCTACTGCTGGTGCTGGTGCTAAAATCGGCTCCGGCGGCGCCGCCTCCGCCATCCCAACCCAACAAACCATCAAGATTACATCAACAACGCAAACAAACCACAACCACAAACCACAACTCCCCCAATTTCCAGCCGACTCCTCCCCAAAAAAACACACAAGCTCTCAAGTGGGTCCGTGTGTCTTTCTGTCCCGTTTTTCCCTGCTCTTCAATGCAGATTCTTCTCTCGAGCTCCGTGAGCCTACAAGGCTTGGACACTTGGACACCTGGGCCGGCTGCGAGCTGCGCTGAAACCTCCCTTGGACTTGGCAAAAGCTCGAGTCGAATCTTCAACTCTTGCTTGGCTTTTTTGGGAACTGGGGGGCGCGCGCTCTTCTCGCTCTAATCACGGGTCGACTGTGCCAAGCTCGGCTTGGCGACTGGAGTTGAAACTGGCGAGGCATTCTGCTTCGCAGATGGCCGAAGAGTCCATGCCGCTTGAATCCAGTTGGGCGAGTCCGCTTCACGTGACAAAAGAGCAGGGAGTTTAATCATCGATTGCATTGTGGAACTTTTTGTGATGCAACTCTGCTCCTGCGAGTTCGCCCAAGAAGGCCCACCCCGAAAGCCAACTTCAGGCACAAGTCGAGCGCGGCAACTGCAGCAAGCCTGATATGCCTGTTGTTGAGCTTGTGCTCCCTGATGCTTTGCTTCGGGCGCTGGGTCAGTCTCGAGAGCCTTCACAAAAGAATTTTGGTGTAAACAGCCGATGCCAGCCTCAGCAGATACGCAGCAGATATACGAATTCTGCAAGATACACAGACCCTTCTCTTCACTGCACCTGTCATCCCGCAAATGCCGCTTGTACCGAAATGTATAAAAGCTAACACACCGTAGCGCGCGCTAGACATGGCACATTGCTTTGCACAGCACGCCTGCTGGTCTAGATTTCTTGCTACCGCACACCCTATGTAGATATCTGCTCCGATGTAGAAGTCCAGAGGATGACATGTGAGTCCATTTCTGAAAACCCCACGATTCGACTCTCAACAATCTCGAGAACTCCCGTGCGCCCTAAGTTACGAACCTGCCGAGGTAGAGCCGGCTGCTTACATGAAGCGAGAAAAGCAACTGGAAATCCAGCGACCGGTGACCTAAGGGACCTACCCTACGCCAATGCCATAAATTTTGCCGTTCTACTCAGCCCTCTCACGCCTCCATAGAGCTCCTCCGCCCAGCTCATGCTGCCTCGTCCTCGTCGTACTGCGACTCACCCGGCGCGAGCAGCCGGTACGCACCGATGTCGTACGCGGTGCCCAATTGCACCTGTTCCTCGCCGGAGAATCACATTGCTCAAATTGTTCAAATGCCTGCTGTCATATTGCTCGTGTCAACTCAACTCACTCCAGCTTGTCCTGCTTGTACCTCTGCTGCACCTGTCGCAAACTCAGTCGCTCCCGACTGCCGCAATCTATACCATTGGGCCTTTGGGGACTCTTGAAACAAAGTGACCTCTTACAAGTGGGTTATACCCGCTCGGCACTAAGCGTGAAGAGCAATGTTCCGTCCATCCGCCAAAGAGGCCCGTTGGCGAGTGGATTTGCAGGCGCCGCACCTCTGGGTGGTAGCGCAGCGCCTCGAGGAATATCTCCTCACGGAGGGCCTCACGGAGGAGCGTCTGCTTTCTTTACGGAGCCTTGAGGGCTCAGTGCGGGCTCAGAACACATTTAGGGCTCGCACAAAAACAACGGCGAATACGAAGACTCAACTTGAAGACTGATTGTGGAGGGAAAGACACACACGCACCAGGCGCACCCAAACACGCACAGAGGTTCGCACCCTCTTTCGAAGGAGTCGTTCGCATCTGTATGTGTTTTTCGTTTTCAAACAGGAGTGTGGACCTAGAAATAGACACACCCACACCCACACCCACACCCACACCCACACCCACACCCACACCCACAGGATATATAGAAAAAATATGCACATATATATATATATGTATATATATATGTGGCATGGACCTTTATGTATTATTTGACGTTCTCTCTTGTTTTGTATTTAAAAACCTATAAACAAACTAAATCCAAGAAACCTGAAGCACAAATTCACCAATTTCGTTCTCTTAGGGTTTAGGGTTTACGATTTATAATTTACTCTTTTTTGATGTGAACGTACAGACGCAGTCAGATGTTGGCAACGAATACTAGCTATCACTTCTGCTCTTGCGTGGGGGATGATCCAAGCGGTCTCTCGGGTCGGGCTGCGCACCGTTGTGCGCACATTGAAGTGTCCTGTCAGCTGTCGTGCCCAATTGTTGCTTGGTGTGGATCGGCAAAGATCACTGCTACTGAAAGAGGCATCTTCTCATGAAGATGCCCTAACTCTTTCAAGACATCTACATTATCATTCAACGCGTACAGACGTCGGTTCGACAACCTGTAAAACTTCGTACTCTTCTTCACAAACTGAAGTGGACGCGAGTCCTGCAGTGCCCTGAACCGTCTCGTGCAGAAAACACCCCCGCAGAAAATCACTGCCTTTACCGCAAGCATTGGAATCATACAACCGCACAATCCGCTACAGTCCACCTCCGCCACGGACGCACCCATGACCGCAGAAGCCACTGCCCCGCCGATAAGGAGCCGACCAAAAAAAAGCAACGACGGCACCCATTGCAAAAGACCTGCGAAAACGTCTCGCGTAATCAGTGACCATCATACAACAATCGGTGAACAATCTTAAGACACTATTTTTGCGGGCAACCAATAGCAACTGGTCGACCAAGCCGATGCCTGAAGACGGCACGGCTGCGGCGCCTCGGAGCTTGTCTTCCTGACTCGGGAAACTGCTGCGGCCGACGCCAAGTCTCGCCAGCTGTCGTGCACAATTGTTGCTTGGTGTGCGTCGGCAAAGATCACTGCTACTGAAAGAGGCTTCTTCTCATGAAGATGCCCTAACTCTTTCAAGACATCTACATTATCATTCAACGCGTACAGATGTCGGTTCGACAATCTGTCGAACTTCGTACTCTTCTTCACAAACTGAAGTGGACGCGAGTCCTGCAGTGCCCTGAACCGTCTCGTGCAGAAAACACTCCCGCAGAAAATCACCTTGAGACACATGCCTTTACCGCAAGCATTGGAATCATGCAGCCGCACAACCCGCTACAGTCCACCTCCGCCACGGACACTCCCATGACCGCAGAAGCCACTGCCCCGCCGAGAAGGAGCCAACAAAAAAAAGCAACGACAGCACCCATTGCAAAAGACCCGCGAAAACTTCTCGGATAATCAGCGACCATCATACAACAATCGGTGAACAATCTTAAGACACTAACTTTGCGGACAACAAATAGCAACTCGTTGACCAAGCCGATGCCTGAAAACGGCACGGCTCCAGCGCCTCGAAGCTTGTCTTCCTCACTGTGTGTTTTTGAGATTTAAAGGAGAACAAGAGAAGAGAAGGGAGAGAGAAAGGAGAGAGGAGAGATCAACAGGAATGCAACTCTAAATGGAAGAGCAATGAAAAGAATAGAAGAGAAATGAGGACAGGCGAAATGCAAAAATCAGGCAAAGAAAAGATGGTGCTCGTTTTCATCTTTCCTCTGGTTCTTATTTTTCTCTTCTCTTGTTCATTTCCGTTAGAAAAAACAAAAGGAATAACAATGAACATGTAAGCAAACCCAGCTGATGCTCATGATTTTTTCCTTTCTCCCTCTCTCTCTCTCTCTCTCCATATATGGGCGATGGAACGGGTGTCCTTGTTGGGCCGTTTCCTGCATCTTCAAGTGAGGAACCTAAGTGTTTTCTTTTGTTCGTTTGAAGACACAGAAAGCGATTAAAAGGGACGTCCATTTTGGATTGGCAGCCAACCCAGCTGATGCTCATGATTTTTTTTCTCTCTCTCTCTCTCTCTCTCTCTCTCTCTCTCTCTATATATATATATGGGCGATGGAATGGGTGTCCTTTTTGATCGTTTTCTGCATCTTCAAGCGAGGAAAAGGGACACCCCACAAGAAAGCACTTAGGGTGTCCCTTTTGCTCGTTTGAAGACACAGAAAGCGATTAAAAGGGACGTCCATTTTGGATTGGCAGCCAACCCAGCTGATGCTCATGATTCTTTTTTTTTCTCTCTCTCTCTCTCTCTCTCTCTCTCTCTCTCTCTATGGGCGATGGAATGGGTGTCCTTTTTGATCGTTTTCTGCATCTTCAAGCGAGGAAAAGGGACACCCCACAAGAAAGCACTTAGGGTGTCCCTTTTGCTCGTTTGAAGACACAGAAAGCGATTAAAAGGGACGTCCATTTTGGATTGGCAGCCAACCCAGCTGATGCTCATGATTCTTTTTTTCTCTCTCTCTCTCTCTCTCTCTCTCTCTCTTTTTGTATGGGCGATGGAATGGGTGTCCTTTTTTGATCGTTTTCTGCATCTTCAAGCGAGGAAAAGGGACACCCCACAAGAAAGCACTTAGGGTGTCCCTTTTGCTCGTTTGAAGACACAGAAAGCGATTAAAAGGGACGCCCGTTTTGGATTGGCAGCCAACCCAGCTGATGCTCATGATTCTTTTTTTCTCTCTCTCTCTCTCTCTCTCTCTCTCTCTCTCTCTCTCTCTCTCTCTCTCTCTCTCTCCCTCCCCCTCTCTCTCCCTCTATATGGGCGATGGAACAGGTGTCCTTTTAGATCGTTTTCTGCATCTTCAAGCGAAGAAAAGGGACACCACAAGAAAACACTTAGGGTGTCCCTTTTGCTCGTTTGAAGACACAGCAAGCGATTAAAAGGGGCGCCCATTTTGGATTGGCAGCAAACCCAGCTGATGCTCATGATTTATCTCTCTCCCCATAAACGGGCGATGGAACGGGTGTCCTTTTTGGATCGTTTTCTGCATCTTCAAGCGAAGAAAAGGGACACCACAAGAAAACACTTAGTAAGGGTGCCCCTTTTGCTCGTTTCAAGACACAGAAAGCGATTAAAAGGGACGCCCATTTTGGATCGGCAGCAAACCCAGCTGATGCTCATGATTTATCTCTGTCTCTCTCTCTCTCTCTCTATATATGGGCGATGGAATGGGTGTCCTTTTTGATCGTTTTCTGCATCTTCAAGCGAGGAAAAGGGACACCCCACAAGAAAGCACTTAGGGTGTCCCTTTTGC